AGTAGTAGTAGTAGTAGTAGTAGTAGGAGCAGTAGTAGTAGTAGTAGTAGTAGTAGTAGTAGTAGTAGTAGTAGTAGTAGTAGTAGTAGTAGTAGTCGTAGTAGTAGTAGTCGTAGTCGTAGTAGTCGTAGTCGTAGTAGTCGTAGGAGTAGTAGGAGTAGGAGTAGTAGTAGGAGTAGTAGTAGTAGTAGTAGTAGTAGTAGTAGTAGTAGCCGGAGAAGTAGTGACATGATTTTAGTGATGATGGTAGTAGAGAAAGTCATCCTTTTTCTCGTCCTCCCCCCCCCCGCATTTCCGTCATGCCATTCTTCCTTCCCAGAAGCTCTTCGGAAGCGCCTCAGAAGCTCTCAGAGGCTCCTCAGAAGCTCCTCGGAAGCTCCTCAGAAGCTGCTCGGACGCTCTTCAGAAGCTCCATAAGATCCACAGGGCGGACGCTCTTCAGAAGCTCCATAAGATCCACAGGGCGCTTCAGAGGCGCTTCAGACGCGCTTCAGACGCGCTTCAGAAGCTCATGAGAAGCGCTTCGGAGGCTCTGCAGAGGTTAGGTTGTTATCCGGTTGTAGTCCGGTGTCCGTCGTGTAGAGTTAGTTTAGGAATCCTTCATGTTGCGACCAGCCCCTGCTCGGTGGTTGGAGTCCGCCCCAAATAGTTCGTGATCGGTCCGAAGTGGTTGTGATCGGCCTTATTCCCCTTAGCCCCCCCCCTCTCCCATCCCCTGCGCGTCCTCATTGTCCGCGTCTGTTCGCTGCGTTTGCCTCTTCGCCTTCCTCGTCTCCCTCAGCCTCAGACGGGTGCCACTTCAGTATCTGCGTGTGGGTCGGCCAGGTGCCTGTTGGCCGCGCCTGCTAGGGCCTGCCGAGCCTGGCCTGTCGATCTGACTGGTGTGCTGACCACTGGGGCTGTAGACAGCCGAGTGGCAGGTAGAGCGCCGGAATCAGGCCATTATGTATTTGGGCCTGCGATCTTGCAGGGCGTGATGGGTGTCTGCCTCTAAACGCCTCGAATGTTCTGCGACCTGGAAACGCTAGGTGCGCTTTCGTCGCTCCCAGGTCACGCGGTCCCTCTCCCTCGCCTCCCCTTTTCGGCACGAACGAAACGGGTAGGGAAAGAATGGGTACAATGCCCAACAGCAGTACCTGTTCATGTTGAGCAGGACTCGCTGTCCACGCCGCCGCGGCCTGTGTCCATTCGAGACAGAAGGTCGCCTGCCCAACAGCGGCCGCTGTTGGTTTGGGACAGCATTTGTTGTTGGGCATGGTGCCCATTTTTTCCGTACCCATTTCGGGCGTCCAAACCTTTCTCGGAATGCGGTGGGCTCGTGTCGTGTCCACGCGGCGGTCGAACGATCTGCGCTGTCGGGATTCTGCGATCGCTCGAGGTTCAGCGGTGTCAGAATCTTCGCCAGAGTTCGGCGGCGCGCCCAGGGGGAACGGCAGATGGAGCGTGTTTTGAAGGCTCAGACTGCGCCTGGCCTTTTGGGAAGCCTTCTCAGCCTTCCCCGAAGCCACAGAGGGCTTCTCAGAAGAGGGACGACTTCGGAGAGTATCTACCGCTCTCTGATCCATGCCTCTCGTCAGGATACACTTCCCGCTCGGGAGCTCCCGCACGAAGCGAACCCCACCCTCACCCTCGGAGATCGTGGGGGGCAGGGGTAGGGCTCGCAGGTGGCCCCCTGCCTGCAGGACCCCGCGCGGCACCCTGGGCTGCACGGGCCCAGGGTGCGGGCGCCGGGCTCCCGCGGGGGCCCGCAGGGTGCGCTGCAGGAGCCTGCAGTGGCCGACGGACCCCGGGCGGGGTCGGCCTGGGCGCGTCGGTGCCCGAGGACGCAGTGGAGGCCCCTGCCAAGGAGCACCCTGCCCGCCTCCGGGGTGCCCGAACGGAACGGGTACGGAAAGAGTGGGTACACACTGCCCAGCAGCAGTACCTGCTCATGTCGAACAGCACTCGCTGTCCACGCCGCCGCGGCCTGTGTCCATTCGAGACAGAAGGTCGCCTGCCCAACAGCGGCCGCTGTTGGTTTGGGACAACATTTGCTGTTGGGCATGGTGCCCATTTTTTCGGTACCCATTTCGGGCGTCCAAAAAGAAGCACCCTGCTCGCCTCCAGGGTGCCCTGAGGTTCTTGGGGTTCGATGGTTTTGCGATGGGCAGCGTGGTGCTCCCACACCAAGCGTCCATGGACGTCCGGGGGTCTCTCAGGGGTCGGGCCCCTGCTGTAGACTCCCGAGGCTACGGGGCGTTTTTTTTCGCGGGCGCCCCGCGCCAGAACGTAACTCCGTGCGATCCCGTGCGTATCCGCGGGGGGATGCCCAGGAAGCCGAGTGGGCGCGCCCTCGAGGGCGCGAAGTCAGATTCGCGCGGCGCCCTTCGCAGTTCGGCTCCGAGTCCTCTTTGTCCTCCTCTTCTTTCCTGATGATGATGATGATGATGATGATGATGATGATGATGATGATGATGATGATGATGATGATGATGATGATGATGATGATGATGATGATGATGATGATGATGATGATGATGATGATGATGATGATGATGAGGAAGAGGAGGAGGAGGGCGAAGTTCTTCGCGCTTCGCGCAGCGCGAGGCGCGAAGTTAGGCGCCCTTGGAAGTCAGACCGCGAGGGCGCAGACACGGACACGATCGCCGCCCGTGAGCAGTAGTCCAACTCCCCCCGCCTCTGCCGTCGTGTGCCCGCCGCCGAGCTCCTCAAGCCGTTTCCGGCCCCTGCGCCGCCCAGGAGCTCGGCGGAGAATGCCAATTCAGCGCACGGGAGGCCGTAATTGCACGTTGCAGAGGATTTTTCTTCCTCCTCCTCCTTCTCCTCCTCCTCCTCCTTCTCCTCGTCCTCCTCGTCCTCCTCCTCCTCCTCCTCCTCCTCCTCCTCTTGAAAAGCTACTTACGCGGGCGCGTGGGGGAAGGCGGAGACCTCGATAGCTCAAGCTCGATAGCTCAAGCTATGGCTATGCTCGATCGCTCAAGCCGGCTGCGGAAGGATGGATTCCAACAGCCCCCCTCAGATCTGACTCTTTTCAGAGTCAAGCCGCTGTGGAGGCAGAGCTGGCATCAGAAGCAGTTTGTTGAACGATGTTCCTTGCCGTGCCGTCAGATGATGCTGTACCTTACGATCGGCATAATTTTTCGATCTTCGATGCTGCGGCTTTCAACACACTCACGGTAGACGATATTTTTGCGGGTGCACAGGGGCAATTTCTTGCTGCGTATGCTAAGCACATATCTCACTCAGAGAAGTCTCCCCGCTCGAACAGGTCAGCCACAATGTTAAGAATCTCTGCCACACTGGGTCTCGTATTCAAATGGTCTACATCAAGGCGGATATCCTTCAGGATGATCTGCTTCCCTTGCTTCGTTGTCAGAGGAGGCGTGGCCCTCTTGTCACTGGCCCGGTTCTGGCTCCGACTCGGGCTTGTTTCTTTGGATGGGTAGCGGCTCCTGCCATTGGCAGGACGCTCTGCTGCCTGATTCGCCGGTTTCGGTGGAGGCGGCAGCACATGTGATTTATCTGCCCACGCTTTTTCCGATGGAATTTCGGCCCAATCGGTTTGCAATAGGAAGCCTTGAAACTGCGATAAGCCGTCCTCTGCATCATGTGGCATCTTGTGATTCGAAGCAGTCGCAAAAAAAGTTTCGTTCGGAACGAAGGGGTGTTCAAAGCTTTCTCGCGAGTGTTCACCTGCTGTGATTTCACAACCGCGCTTTATTGCGGCCAACGCTGTGGATTTTTGGTAGGTGTGCGCGACGTGTGGGTGCAGCCTGTGATGGTACCAAATTTTCGGAGCATGTGCTCCCGCCCATAAATGGCAGCCAGAACGATTCCGTGCAACCGCCCGCTACGTTTGAATACCCAAGCGACGCTTCAACGTAACAAGCCTCGCTCTGTCAAGGTATTTTGCTACAGTGTCTGATATATGATATGTTGTGGTCATTCTCGATTTCTTCAGGCGCTTTGCTTGCACAAGTTGTTGCTCATGTTAAAACTTAATACCCACATGCTTCAACCTTACTACTCCCAGTCTTGATGCTGTTGCCCCTGCCTGCGCTGCTGTCCGACTTGACACTTCTGGACGTTTCGAATCCCAATCTTTTGATCAATGAGATTGCGCATGCAGTACCTCTGCGGCTCTGCAGGCTGTGGAAGATAGCTCGGCTTCGCCGCTGGATTGGGCGATCACATTTTGCGTTCGGCTGTAATTGCCCATCGGTCGTTGAAAGTCTGTATTTTTTGATTCCTAGTTCACAATCTACTTTAGCCGCCTTCCTACTTTAAGAGTCGAATGGTTTTCTTTCTCCCCTCTTCTTCAGGGGGCGGGCGGAAACCCAATCTACTTCGAACGCCATCCTACTTCATGGTTCTACCTGTTTTCTCCGACCGATGAGTATGTAGAAGGCATGATCCCAACATAACCTTTCCATCTAGTGGACTTTTTCTCGTCAGCTGTAACCGGGCCCGGTCCGAATCAACATGAACAGTCACCTTGTCGGAGATCGAGTCGATCCTGGGTTGCAGATCTTCGATCCTGGGACAATTTCTGGGTATTTCAACGAATGTTTCAGCTTGCGGACATCTTTCTTCGTAGGCGACGCAAGTTGCCTTGCCAAGTTTTCTGCTGAAAACTGGATGTCTCTTCGTTCCTGACACATGCAGTGCAATTCGCCTGCGACGCACTTGTATTTGTTGTGTCCGACCTTATCTAAAACATGAACCCCTCCTCGATGCATTCCTTGACGTTAGGGGTGGCTCTCGTACTGGGTGTGCTCACAGGAGTACAATTCAACATGCTGCACATGCTCAGGTGTCATCCAACTATATTTCTGTGAGGGCAACACCGATACCACTGTAACGTTTCACGTGCATCGTCCCGAGGTATTTGGCGGGAATCTCGTCAGTAAAACGACCACCGCGGTTGAACAACACATGTTCTTGGAATTGTCCACAGAATTCATCAATCTTAGTTGTGTCCTCCTTTGCAACGGGATCATCTACGTGAGTGCTTACTCGAAGTCCGGTTTTCTTGTTCCAACAGCTGCGGGTCGGTCAAACAACGAATGAAACCAAGTTGGTCTGTCCATGCGCTGGACATGACATCTTGGACGTCTTTAGGTGTTCTTCTCAAGCCGTTCATGGCTTTGTTCATCTTCCACCATCTGGGGTACCGAGAACACCATGGCTCTGGCGGGCGGCAGGAAGAGTCTCGCCCGATATGTCTGCATGCGTAAGAGCGACGCTGCGTAAAAGCGACGCTAAAGACCCCAGAGCATGTTTCAAGCTTCTGTTCCACTGCGAAGACCAACCGGTGTTGGTGTTGCAGCAAAACGTCGTCTCTGCTGCTGACCATCATCAGATCCTCTCCAACCAGTCCCGAGCGCACCTCGTCGCCTTTCATGTTGTGTACCCAGTCAGTTTCACGTATCAGACTAATGTACCAGACGAGTGTACCAGACTAATGTACCAGACTAATGTACCAGACTAATGTACCAGACTAGCGGCACCACACTGATGTACCAGACTAGCGGCACCAGGGTAATGTACCAGACTAGCGGTACCAGACTAACGTACCAGACTGTCGGTACCAGATTAGCGGTACCAGACTAGTGGTACCAGAGTAGCGGTACCAGATTAATGTATTAGATTAGCGGTACCAGACAAACGAACCAGAGTAGCGGTACCAGAGTAGCGGTACCAGACTAACGTACCAGACTACCAGATAGCGGTGCCAGACTAGCCGTACCAGACTAGCGTACCAGACTACCGGTACCAGACTAGCGGTACCAGATTAGCGGTGCCAGACTAATGTACCAGATTTACGTACCAGATTAGCGGTACCAGACTCGCAGTACCAGACTAGCGGTGCCAGATTTGCGGTACCTGGCTCATGGTACCAGACTGGCGGTGATAGGCGGATGTACCAGATTAACGTACCATATTAATGTACCAGATTAGCGGTGCCAGATTAGCGGTGCCAGACTAGCGGTGCCAGACTAGCGGTGCCAGATTAGTGGTGCCAGACTAGCGGTACCAGATTAGCAGTGCCAGACTAATGTGCCAGATTAGTGTGCCAAACTAACGTACCAGACTGGCGGTACCAGACTAATGTACCACACGAATGTACCAGACTAGCGGTACCATATTAGCGGTACCAGTTTAATGTACCAGTTTAACGGTGCCAGACTATCGGGGCCAGACTAGTGGTACCAGACTAATGCACCAGACGACTGTACCAGATCATCGGTACCATATTAGCGGTACCAGACTAACGTACCATATTAATGGTGCCAGATTTAGCGGTACCAGACTATCGGTAGCAGGTTGTCGGTACCAGACAAATGTACCAGAGTAGCGGTACCAGTTTAATGGTGCCAGACTAGTGGTACCAGACTAGCGGTACCAGACTATTGTACCATATTAACGTACTGGATTAAAGGTGCCAGACTAATGTACCAGACTGTCGGCGCGTCTGGTACGTTAGTCTGGCGCCTCCAGGCTGATACCGCCAGTTTGGTGCTGCTAGTCTGGTACCGCTAGTCTGGTGCCGCTAGTCTTGTACATTAGTCTGGTACATTAGTCTGTTACATTAGTCTGGTACATTAGTCTGGTATCTTAATCTGGTACTGTCGTCTGGTACATTAGTCTGGTACCTTAGTCTGGTGCATTAGTCTGGTACATTAGTCTGGTACACTAGTCTGGTACGTTAGTCTGGTACATCTGTCTGGTACATTAGTTTGGTACCGCGCTTGCGGTTAAGAACCACCCTCCTTGTTGCCAGTCGTCTGGTGACGTTCCGTCTTCCTGCGTTCGATCGCCAGAGGCATCGTCGCGATTCTTGGCGTCGTGATTTTCATTCCGGCCCTTGTCGGCTGCTGCTTGCTCTGCTGTGTCTTCTTCTTCTCGTTCTCATGTCTCTGCGTATTTCAACTCCCACTTTTGCCGCCTACGTTTGCCTTCAGCAGCATGGGTATTGCCATGTGTTCCGTCTTAGCGCGCTTTGCAATTCAGCGTCTTGCCGTGCCCTTGCCAAAGCAGTCCAAGTTTCCGGTTGGCTTCGCGCTGCTGCTGTTCAGGCGCGTCTAGCGGGGGACGTGATTGCCGCGGCACCGGGCTGCCCTCAGTTCCCGGCCTGTAGCTGAGATCCCAAAGGGGCCGTCAATCTGATTCACAAGTGTTTTGTTGAAACGGGAGGTGTCCTCCTGCCTGCGTATGGTGCGGGATTGTTTCATGCTTCTGGGTGATGCTATGACATGTTCGTCATTGCCTGCTGCTTCTCCGATCCAGAACCAGTCCCCCTGCGCGGTTCCGTTTTATTGACGACGGGACCGATGTGTTGCGCGCTAACACATTCACCGAATTCCACGAAAAGGAGTTCAACTGTAGAATTGCTTCTGGATGGCGCAAGTTCAACCAGCTGAGGCATGAATTGACTTGCAAGCACTACCCTCTTGCTAGCCGCTTACGACTTTTCAACGGGACTGTGACGCCTGCTGTCACGTACGGATGCATTTCCAGGGTTCTTACTAAAGACATGCTCATTACATTACAGCGGACACAACGCAAGATGATCAGAATAATAGTTGGCACCAGCAGGAGGCGCACGAAAAGCCCCCCTGAGAACGACGACCAAACGAACCATCAGACCAGCAATTCCGAGCACGTGGAGAAACGAATCTAGAGACCACAACGCCTGAGAGCGACTCCAACGACAGCATCCAAGACAACGGCGACAGCGACAACGGTAGCACGTCTGACGTCTGCACCACGGAATCCTGGATCGACTTCGTCCGGAGAGCAACGCACGCAGCTGACGCCCACGCCAAACGAGCTCAAAT